GAGGAGAGACGCGAGAGAGGAGAGATGAGAGAGAGAGAGAGACAGAGAGAGAGAGAAAGAGAGAGCGAGAGAAAGAGAGACAGAGAGAGAGAGAGAGAGAAGAGAGAGAGAGAGAGAGACAGAGGAATAGAGAGACAGGAGAGAGAGAGAAAGAAAGAGAGAGAGAGAGAGAGAGACAGAGAAGAGACAGAGGAAAGAGAGAGGCCAGAGAGAGATAGAGAGAGGAGAGATAGAGAAGAGACAGAGAGAGAGACAGAGAGAGAGGACGAGAGAGACCAGAGAGAGAGAGAGGAGAAGAGAAAGAAGAGAGAGAGAGATGATAAGAGAGGAGCAGAGAGAGAGAGATAGAGAGAGGAGGGAGAGAGAGAGAGAGAGAGAGCAGAGAGAACACACTATTGATCGTGTGTACTCACCTAGTTGTGCTTGTGAGGGTTGAGCTTCGGCTCTTTGGTCCCGCCTCTCAACTGTCAATCAACCGGTATACAGGTTCCTGAGCCTACTGGGCTCTATCATATCTACACGTGAAACTGTGTATGCATTCCATTTGTTAACCACTCTGACACTTAAAAAGTTCTTTCTAATATCTCTATGGATCATTTTGGGTACGAAATTTCCTTCTGTGTCCCCTAGTGCGTGTGGCCCTTGTGTTAAATAAACTGTCTTTGTCTACCCTATCAGTTCTTCTGAGAATCTTGTATGTGGCGATCAAGTCCCATCTAATTATCTTGACTTCCAGCGACGTGAGGTTTAATTTTCGTAGTCTCTCCTCATGCCTCATACCCCTCAGTTCGGGTACTAGTCTTGTGGCAAACCGCTGGCCCTTCTCCAATTTAGTTTTATGCTTGACGAGATATGGACTCCATGCTGGAGCTGCATACTCCAGGATTGGTCTGATATACGTGGTACACAAGATTCTGAATGATTCCTTACACAAGTTTCTAAAGACCGTTCTTAAGTTGGCCAACCTGGCATATGCCGCTGAGGTTTTCCTCTTGATATGGGCTTCGGGGAACAGGTCTGGCCTGTTCAACCCCCAGGTCTGGGTGATATCAACCCCCAGGTCTCTCTCTGATTCTTGAAGAATTTCATCTCTCAAATGATACCTTGTATCTGGCCTCCTGCTCCCTACACCTATCTACATTACATTGCAATTGCTCGGGTTAAAATCTAACAACCATTTGTTGGACCATTCCTTCAGTTTGTCCAGGTCTTCTTGAAGCCTCAAGCTGTCCTCCTCTGTCTTAATCCTTCTCATAATTTTAGCATCATTAGCAAACATTGAGAGGAATGAGTCTATACCCTCTAGGAGATCATTTACGTATATCAGAAACAGGATAGGTCCGAGTACAGAGCCCTGTGGGACTCCACTGGTGACTTCACGCCAATCTGAGGTCTCACCCCTCACCGTAACTCTATGCTTCCTAATGCTTTGGTTC